TGCTGCTGCTGCTGCTGCTGCTACTGCTGTTACTGCTACCGTCATTAGTAAACGCTGTCAGAAGCTGCTACTGCTGCTGCTGCTGCTGCTGCTACTGCTGTTACTGCTACCGTCATTAGTAAACGCTGTCAGAAGCTGCTACTGCTGCTGCTGCTGCTGCTGCTACTGCTGTTACTGCTACCGTCATTAGTAAACGCTGTCAGAAGCTGCTACTGCTGCTGCTGCTGCTGCTGCTACTGCTGTTACTGCTACCGTCATTAGTAAACGCTGTCAGAAGCTGCTACTGCTGCTGCTGCTGCTGCTGTTGCTGCTGTGAGATAACGTAGTTACGGGCAGGCAGCATGGCGGCCGCGTGTGTGGATGGACGCTGTATGTCCGTGGCAGCCGCCGCTCACACAGCATGGCGGCAGCAGCATCCAGCCGACGCCTGCAGCTCCCGTATAAACACCGCTCATGCTATAGCTCGCCCGCGGCGGGCAGCCCCGTACGTACGCACGCACGCCCGTATACGTACATACACTTTTCGGCTTGTCATGGCTATATTCCCAGCGCATATCGCCCGTGCATATACATACAATATATAGATATCAAATATATATATACATAAATATCAAGGATACATATATATGATGAAAACAATTTTTACACCAATTTTTATGCTAATACATTGAGAAATGTTTTTAAAATATTGTTTTTAAAATGTTATAGATAATTGTATACGTGTGTTGACGTTGTTGATCGCGCGGACATTTGAGTAGGATAGTAAACCAATACAGATATCTATATAGAAAGATCCATTTCATACCACGGACATATGTGGATGGGAGCAGATACAAGGAATAGACCTAGAACAGTATTACATCCACTCAAGCTAACACCTTTACAGTTCTCGCGTTTAGAACTTTGCCAACGATTAACGATGAAGTCCCATGTGATCAATGATTATCATGTGAACGATGATTATCATGTGTTATTGCAATCATGATGGCAGTTACCAGTTAGATTTAAGGGGGCATACAACAGTAGCCTTCTAAAAATGCGCATCACTTAGCTGGCAAAAGTTTTAATCGGAGTTTAGACCTTAAATCTGTGGTTATTTAGCATGAATAAAGTATATGTTGTGTATGCGACGAAACACTGAGTATTTTCAATTAATTTCTCTTCGATGCTTATTCATGCCTGCTGACTACGAAGGCCTTCTACTGTTGTACAACACCTAAACCAACGCATCGCAGCCATTAACATCGCAGCTAGACTACGTACTGGCCGGGGTGCGAAATTCGCGGCCGGGGTATGCACGACCTGTCAGCATTAGCAACAACTGGCATGTCCATCGGTGGCTGTTGCAGCTTAAGTAGCGGGTAGTACTGACATCGCCTGTCACTCAGGCGAGTCATCGTGTTTCTTAGCGTGAGACATCTTGGCAGGTTGACAGGCGGTGACAGGTTGACAGGCGTTGACAGGTTGACAAGCGTTGACAGCTGTTGACAGGCGCTGGCAGCGATAGTTAGGAGAGCGTTGAGCGTGCTGTGAGATTATTGAGCGTGTTCTGGCGCTTGTTCAGCAAGATTGCTCCACCCCTCCCTCTCTCTCTCTCTCTCTCTCTCTCTCTCTCTCTCTCTCTCTCTCTCTCTCTCTCTCTCT